TGTCGACGTCCGTAATTCTTTCTCTCACGTAGCCTTCCACACGGCTTTCAATTCCAGTAAACAACTCTGTCCGGCTCTCGCTCCTCTGGGCTCTTCGCAACAGCAGTTATAGCTCACTAAAAGGCCTTTTTCTTTAAGCTAGCGTGACTCCTTATATATCTTTCAGAAAAGTTCTAGAATGTTCTAGAGATCTGTAATATTGCTATTTTTAGAAACATTACACTATGATTACATCATAACAAAAATATGCTGAGTCACGGTTCTAGAAGGTTCTCCTTAAAGTTCTCGCTTAGTCATCATGACTAAATGTTCTAGAAACTTCTTCGTTCTATTTTTAATAATTACGTAACGCAACGCACTCTAGAAAAATATGGGCGCTCTCCATAACATCTATAATAAACTTTTTGCTCATAACCAAAGAAGAAAATGTCCTAAAAACGTTTTAGCCTAAACTTTCTTAGACTACTGCTCTGGCAGTTTGTTTGCTCTCTCACTCGACTCTCGCGGATTAAGGAGTAAGGGAAAGCAAATCGTCAAATGTCTTTTAAAAGCGCTTATGGTTGGGTCGGATCTTGGTTACAACAGCCCTACGTCCCAATCTCCTGTCGCTCGAAGATCTTGCACATCAAAGACACAGTTCCGAAGTCCATGTAAGTTCATTTACCTCTTAAAAGCAAAATTGACGTTATGTTTCCGACCTTGTAAATAGTTTTCGAAGCGGAAATGAAAATGAAACACATTTACGACACCGACCAACATGGAAACACAAAAAATATTTGCCAAAGTAAAAGGATTTCGCTTCGAACGTCTTTCCACGCGAAATAAAAAGATTAAGAGTAATACAAATGAGCGATCATGTCAATTAGGAGCACCACTTTTTCATGAAAAGAGCAAAATAACAAGTACCTGATGGTATTGTATGGCTTTTCCCTTTCAGCTGATATGGATCAGTTAAGGAAACGATTTGCAAATATTTCATCGCACCCAGCGCATCGTGTTTCAGGCTTGATGTTGTATTTATCAGCAGTTTTTGAGTTCTGAAAGTGCGTACTTCTATGTAAATACTTTTTTTTTCTCTTGTTAACTTCAGCTCTGATCCTAAAAACGAACAATTTTCCAGCTTAGAAGACAACTGCGGGCAAACATACGGGAGCTAGGTAAACTTGGAGCTATAATGTCTGGTGTTCTTAATGTCTATAATGTCTGGCGAATGGGACCCAAGAAATTCACGTATTACAAACAGCTCATTGCAACAGTGTACTTTTTTAGTTCTACGTGGTATGTCGAGTTTAAGATGTTTTTACAAGCCAGTGCGTATTTTTTTTTTTTTTTTTTTCATGACACTCAAAGAAAGTGCTCTGTTAGCCAGTCGCAACTTTCAGTCATGCATATCACGCACAGAGACCCGTTTAGGTGATACTAACTACCGTGACAGTACGTATTTACATCACTTATAGAGCAAAATCATTCTTTTTCAAGGGGAGCGTGGAGAAGGAGTGCTGTATTCATTGTTACAACATCATATATTTGATAACCCGAAAATAAAAATAAAAAATTAATAAATGCAAATCATTCGTCCGATCCTGATACATTTACAATTACTTTCTCTCCCACACAAAAAAAATTGTCAGCTTATGAAGCAAACATACTTATAAAAGATATGCGATGATTCTGCTGGTAATAAGTGATGTCGAGTGATGAAGATTCGTTGATTTAAAACTGACAGCAGAATGTGTAGGACGAACCTGATTTCCAAATGACAATACTGCCTGGTGACTTTTTTCGAATTCATAAAAAATTCTGCCTCATTTAGCAGAACAGTCAAACTGGAACATTTCCATTGGCACCTCGATTCCGTGGCTGAATCTACTTCTTCGCTGCTTTACTATTAATCAAAAATATATCCAGGATCTACGTAGATATAGCTTATCTTCAGTTGTGCCAGACAATCAACGTTGAAAAAGGTTTTCGCACAATTAAGACCAATAAAGATAAAGGTGACCGAACCGCAGAACTTAAAACATAACTAGACCACAACTAGACATGCATTGATCAAGTGTAGTATTCGATTTTCTACCCTTTCATTCTTTCGCTTCACGTACAGCTGTGGGGTCACAGATGGAAAGAAATTGTAGACCAAAAGAATACTTCTAACTCATTCCACTCACGTATCTATGTCTTAGTTTTGCAACCCTTTGCTCAGATTTCACAGTCAAGAGCATTCTCCCTAGAACCATTTTTTTTTTTTGAAATATAATCATCTGAAACCCACTATATAATTTTGTCTTAAGTGTATGGTTGAAAAGATAAGATTGCAGACCGATAATAGTTTTAATTTAAGTCTCTAAGGAAAGAAACTATCACTTCCCTACGGAGATTTAATGAGCTTATAGCGTGTGTCGTGCTCGGCTCAGCTTTATATTTCAGTGTTCAAGGAACACGCTTACGATGAATGAAAAAGCCGAGTGTTCCTAAGATTTTCACATAAGTCACTCTGATGGATCAAAATAGCGATTTTGATCAGTGCAGCTGTTAATTTAAAAACAATTAAGTTGTCTGCGAGAAAGGCTGTGCACACTTGATTTAAATGCATTCTGTGGAGCCTGAAGTGCGTTTGAGCCGATATTTACTGTGATCTGAGTGACGGAAGCATTTTATGAAAATACAAGCTTCGAAAACTGTCATCGAGTACTTTACCACTTGGAAAGTGAAGGGAAAACTTCGGCGCGATTGCAAGTACGATAAGCGAGTCACCCACCTTGAGTCTCCGAGGCTTCATGACCGAGAAATCGGTAAGTGAACCCCTTAAGCTTTACAATAGTCATGCCCGAACAACTGTGACTGCTCAATTATATATTTCCTTTGTTCGTCTGCTTCTTTGAGTTATTTGCTCTGCCATCGAGTCAACTGAATCAACGGCGTTTCTTCATCATTTTTCTACGCTGTAAGCCGCGTTTCGTTCTCTAATCAACCGAGTTGGATCTATATTAATTATAAGTTCCTTTGTTATTTTCTTTGCACATAACCAAGTGGTCTTGGCAGATCTTTCACAGCCCCATACAAAATTAAGCATACAGTCCTTGAATGAAGAAAAGAGTTTGCATGCCTTTGGGACAACGACTTTGTTTTACAGTTATATGGATTTCACTACGATACAGATAAAGTTAACCTCAGGGAATTTTATTTTGAGTAAATCTCTAATTGGTTTATTTGTCCGACGGTCAACGAAACGCTATATCGGGTCCATAATTTTGGAGTTATTTGTGTCGATTTCCAAGAACAGAGCTATCAATTATTGCAACTTGCGTTTATGATCAATTCCAGGGCCCAGTTGTTCGAAGGTCGATGAGCCGGCATTACCCAGAGTTAAATTTTAATCCAAGTGTCTATATTTCTCTGTTCAAAAGCCGTTTTGGAATAATTTTCCTAATTCTTTTTAAAACATTCAATCATCAAATTGTAGACAAATAGAATTAAGCTGAATTTTTTTTTTTTCAAGCTTTCAGATCTGAAATCAAATTTCACGCTTACCCTGGGGTATTTTAACCCAACTTTGAACGACCCGCGGCCCAGACGTTCAGGATTAAGGCGTTTCCTAAAATAATTTTTAGCAAACAGTGAGCTTTCCACCTGATCTTGAGGTCATAGTTTCAGTGAATGCTAAAGTTTTCCCTGTAAACTTGCTTTGACTCTTTAGAGTGACCAGAAACTAATTTCTCCTTACAACATCACCCCTGAATCGCACATAAAAGTCACAAGAATGAAGAAAGTGATCACCAGCTAATTGAAGCTTTTGATTGTTGAGAAAATTCTCCTTGTCAGCTCCATA